CGATTCTCGTAATAAGCACATCCTTTTTTCTTTTCTTACATGTAGTTGCCTAAAACGCTTGCTCCAAGTTTCTAATTTGACAGTGGATCATGACGTAATAGCAGCCGCATCATCATCATCATAATCCGTTGCTTTTCATCGTTGACCTAAATAAGCAACATTTTAGCGTATCATTGATTCGATTAGCTAAGGAGAGAAAAAGAAGCTATGGGCCAGTGTAGGACAAAAAACAGTAGCACTGCTATTGCTGTTCCACTGACACAGTGTTTCTTTTTGAGTTGAATTTTCAGATGTCCACTTCAAAACTGCTGGTGACCAGTGGAGCACTTCATCACTCAACTAATTCGTCTGCCTCACCGGCTGCACCGGCACAACAATTGAACAAGTTGAACTTTACACAGCTCTAACTGAGATTGAGTAGTCTGATCGAGACAATGAAATTTTGCTCTTGGTAAATATAGACCTCTGTTTTCTTTCTCTCACGTTGTTTGTTGGTTGTCAGTCGACCACCATCAGAGTGAATGTAAATGAACTGACACCTTGACGTTCAACGGCTCACTTTCACTTGATGCCCGTTGACAGCAAAGTGTCACCTAAAGTGCTGCTGCCGGTGCTACTGCAGTCATCGTCGTCGATGATGATGATGATGATAATGTGTGCCAGTCTCGGTGTCACACATGTTTACCATTCGATGTCTTCCGCACCAATGGCAGCCAGCAGTGCCTCTGACCACCACCACGACCACTACCAGCACTTCCCACGCAGCCCACAAATTGATCATATTATCATTATTTGAGGGAAGGAGAGAGAGCAACAACACTTCACAGCAGCAGCTGATGCATTGCGCAAGTCGCTCGTGTGCTCCATCGTTCACCCGCAATAATAACAAAACAGTTACTGACTAATGGCAATTAATTACTGCTAATTATCACTGTCTGTTTGCCAATTAACCGGGCATGACTCAAGCTTCACTGTGCATAGTAAACCTTCGAAGCAATCGATGAAAAGAAAAATAATAAAAAGTAGCTCTTAAAATTGTTACCTTTAGAGGAAACCCTTTTGCAACAAAAGAAGAATGACAACTTTCGTTTCGTTGTTGTTTCTGTACTCGCAGTTTTTTCTGGCTTTTTTCTAAAACTAATTTGATTTTCAGCTAAGGAAAATTTGTAAAAACAACGATTTTTATTTAGCTACTCCTTTCAGACAAATTGAGCTTCTAATTTTGCACTTAGAAACAAAAAGAAAAATAGAAGCTTATAACATGTAGCTCAAGTTAAACAAAAGGGCAGAAATGTGTGTGTTGGCAGTTAATAAGTGCTTCTACCTGTCTGTGCCAGTCAGTGCTGGCTGCACTACCTGTCTTTCTTGAATCACTCACTTCCAGACAGACATTGTTTATTTCTACCCTTTCTAATGGCCGCCATTAGCTTCCCGGACACTGCGTAACTTTCTATTTATTTCACTTTTGTCAGCCTCGACGACTGTCGCTCCCCTTTCCCCTACCGGAGCCCTTCGCTTGCCACCACCACCACTTCGCAGCCGTCATCGTGCATTTCCGTGCGGCAACAGCAACAGGCGATGATGATTGGCAGCTACTAGACTAGCTGACTGACCATTGGTGTCACTGCCATCGATGGGCCAAATGCACCACTGTACAAAGTGTACGGGTGAGGTCGGTGCAAGTGACGGCGGAGGCAACGGCGGCGGTGGTATTAATCGGCACTCTTTGCAATTGATGCCGACCACTGCTTGAGCCAAGGGATGCAAACTTGCCCAGTTGTCGCCTGTGGCTCAACAGCAGCAGCTTACAGTTTGTTAGTCCAACAGCTAAAGCACACACTCAGACACTCATTAGCGAGCAAATGGTCACACGCGTTTGCACGTTTGCTTCCAATTCACTTTCTCTCAGCCTCCTGCGCCCGGCCGCTTGCCTGGACACCACCTAACGCAATTAGAGAAAAAGCAGCGATAGAGCGTGAGAGAGAAAGCAAGAGGACAGTATCAATGCACGGTCTCTCTCTCTCTCTCTCTCTCTCTCTCTCTCTCTCTCTTTCTAACTTTCGAACGTTACCTGGCTCGGTATGTTTCGCTTGGCCACCTTTCACTTTCCTCCTCTCTGATCACTCAACGTTGTTGTCGAGAAAACAGCCAAACTGCGGACTGTTGCAAAGAGTCACCTGTAGTCTCAGTGAAGTCACAGTGGTTCACTTTGGCCTCACTTAAACGTACGGCTGCTGCTGTCGTCTCTCTGTCTTCTCTCTGTTTGTCTCTGTCTGTTCCAGCAGTGCTGCCGATTCAGTCGATGAGGCCAGTGCAGTCCAGTGCCAAGTCAGTTTCTTTCACTTCAGTCGGGAATTAGTGGTAATTTCGGCTTTTCAGCATCACTTTCCTTCACTGCCAACCGCAATCACCAGTCACCACGTGCTCTCTTCTTCTTCTTCTTCAGCATCATCTTTAAATCCTCACTTTGCATAATTTCTTTTTGTATGTGAACAGGTGTTTTTTATTTAAAAAAATAATTTTATTGATTTTTATGCTAACAGACAGTGTGCCTATTCTGTCTAGTGTTTAGTTTTTACTGCACCGGTATCCATCATTTGTTTGTTTCTTGATTTCTTTGCTACTTAATTAATTTAAATGGAATAAATGCTTCCTCACTGCTGCTCAAAACATTGCCTTACGCAATCGTTTCATAATAATATTGATTGCATCTATTTATATTTGTGTATTGATTAGCACCGGCCTGTTTGCCTCCTCACCACACAGTTGATTACCAATGATCGATTGATTTTGACTGACTAGTGTCTAGTCAACAAAAACACCGTTTTTATTTTGTTCTAGATTTGAGTTTTTATTTTCACAATGCAACTGTCATTCTTTGATAACTTTTTGTTTCTAGCAGTCATCTCAATTACCACTATGCTACTTCAGCTTCATTTCAGTTTTTGACCGGAAACATTTGTCAAAACAGAGCGAGCGGTGATTCTAAACTTGGTGAAATGTGCAAGTAAAGTTCAGCTCGGTGCAATTAAAGTGGTCAGTCAGATTTTTCTGTTTTTTCTTCTAGCAGCAGCCGACATCGTAAAAACCTCTTTTCAGCCATGTGTGTGCTTGTTTGCAATTGACTTGTATGCTCGAGACTTCATTTCCTCGACAAATTCATAAAAGCACAGTTTCCTCTCCGTCAGTGACTTCTAACTGCATTAGAGGAGAGCTGTGCCTCTGTTGTAAGGGCCGAGTATAACGAGCTTTCCAGCTTAATCGATGCATGATTTAGTGCGATAGTGTGCCAACTAGTAGTTCTGCCTTCGGGGTCAACAGGACGAGAAATCGAGAGAGAAAGAGGCAAAGGGGAGAGCAGAAAGAGCAAAGAGTAAAGAGCTGACTTACTTGAAAGATGCCAAAAAGAAGGTTACCCCTTGGAGTGAGAGAGAGAGCGAGGAGGCAACATCATCATCATCATTTTTCCCGCTGCCACCGGGGTTGCCGCTATCAGTGGCTTTCTTAGGTGCTAAAACGGCACCGTCTTACTCTTTGCTCTGTGCTGCTCTTCAGCAGCTGGTTCGGGAGAAGCCACTGCACTGCACTGGACTAGTAGGCTTACGGCCATTTTTCATTGAATCAATTGGCCATGGTGGCGCCATGCTACCTGTGCGTTTTGGATTAGCTTTTCAGTTTACTAGCCCTGTAAACTAGACTAATCTGAAGCTGAGAACGAGAGAAAGAGAGAGATAATAGCCGGTTGAGTAGTGCAGTTGTCGGCTCTTTTAATTGCCAACCTATCCGAGCGCAGTGATTGCTGCAGCCGCGGTCTGCACCGTTGCCACCACTAATTAGCAGTAAATGAGAAGGATTGTGGCAGTACCAGTGCAGAACTGCTCTACCTCTAACTGACGTCCATTGCAGACAGCCCCCACCGCTTCTTCATCTCACTGACCACACTCCTTACTTTTTCACCCTCAGGTATCATTTCTAGCCGACGTTTCTCGACGTTCATCTTCTGGCGAGGATCTTCTGCACATCTTTGGCACCATCAATTAGCCATCAGCGACCTCATCATTGCCGACATCATCATCACCAGTGGCAATTGTGTGCATCTCTGTGTGTGTGTCTCTGCTCTGGTCTGGTTGTTTTATCTCCTCTTCAATTCATTCATTCATTCACCGGTACTACTCGTTTCACTTCTTCTTCTCCATCTTCACTGACCGTCATCACCGCCACTTTATGTCTTTGACCAACTGACGCCACCACTTTAACAGCAACTTCTACTCCCGTCACTGAGTCAGTGAGGTGTGCAGCAGTAAGTCAGTGAGCCACCGAGTCAGTCAGTCATTCAGTCAGTCAACCACCGAGAGAAGTCGTTCGTCCATCGTTCGCATTCCATTACTTTTCCCACATTGCCGATGATTTTCTAGCTGGCCTGCTGAGTGAGGAAGATAGCGCTGAAAAGCGGCAAATTAAATAAATAACAGCCAGGCAATCCGGCGCCAGACGCAACAGTGGCCAGTGGCGACCGAGAGAGAAAACAGCAAGTGAACAGAAAAGGGAAGGTCTTCAGTTTGAGTTGAGAGTGCACATGCATCTGTCCTCTGACATGGACACCAAAAACAACGACACCACAACCGAAAGCACCTTCATCATCACCACCATCAACAGATCTACCGTACACTGCTGAATAGTAACAACAGCAGTAGTGTTTAAACAGAACGCCCTCCTCTCAGCCGACCTCTTCTTCAGCCTCTTCTTCTTTTTCTCCACTCTTTTTTTGTCCGGCATGTCGCCGTTCACGAGTCAGCAAACATTTCACCTGTGCTCAATCGACAATCGGTTTGAGTGTCCTCGCCTTTGATCGTCGTTGTTTGCCAGTGTGCCAGTGTGTGTGCCTCTGTGCTCTCTTCCTCCTGTGTCTGCCAGTGTGACTGCAGCAGGCACCAGCCTCGGGCACCCGAGATCACCACCTGAGATCACCATCACCTCCAACACCATCCTCACCAGCAACCATGGTCAGCGGAAAGCACTGCATGTGCATCGACACTGCACTTTCTGTGGCCTTTCAGAAGCTAGGCTACGCGGTGGGCAAATACCCGGGCTACTTCATTCTTGTGCCCTTTTTCATCGCCTGCATTCTTGCCACCGGCCTGCAGAGGCTACGCTACGAGGACGATCCAGAGTACCTCTTCTCGCCCACCGATGGACGGTCCAAGCATGAGCGCTCCATAGTGGACGACTACTTTCCCGTCAACTACACGTCCAACTTTAACGTCGGTCGTATCACCCACAAAGGCCGCTTCGGTCGGCTGATCGTCACCGCCCGAGACGGTGGCTCCATTCTCCGACGTTCCGTCTGGGACGATCTGATGAATCTTGACGGTGCCATAAAAAATCTCACCTTTGTCTGGGATGACTCCAACTGGAAGTACGAGGATATTTGCGCCAAAAATGAGTTCAAGTGTTGGAACAATGACATCCTCGATTTTAACGGCAAAATCACCGATATTGAGGAGAAAAAGTACTTTCTCAAGTATCCCATTTGGATCAACACGGAAACCTACAAAGCCTACTTCTTCCCCGCCTATCTCGGCGGCGTCACCGTCGACGACAACGGCCTGATTGAGAACGCCAAAGGCATCAACCTGATGTACTTCATGGACACCACAGTCAAGAACGGCGACGCACGAGGTCAACTGTGGGAGCAGATGTTCCTCGAGTTTGCCGCCGGAGTCAACTACGAGAACATCGTCGTCTCTCGTTTCATCTCCACGACGCTTCAAAAAGAGCTGGACAGCAACACGCACAGTTTGGTGCCCTTCTTCAGCATCACCATCATCATCATGATTCTGTTCAGTGTGGGCACCTGCATGATGTCCGACTGGGTGCGCTCCAAACCCTGGCTCGGTTTGCTGGGCTGCGTCTCTGCGGGCATTGCCGTCGTGGCGGCCTTTGGCCTGTGCGTCTACTGCGGCATCGAAATGATTGGCATCAACCTTGCGGCGCCCTTTCTAATGCTCGGTAAGTCACACAGTCTGTGCGCTGCCCCTTCCTTCCTCTGTTATCTACCACCTCGTCCTCCTCTTCAGTGTTTTAGTGTGTCGCCAGTGTAGCACACACTTGAACTATAAATTCATCCAAATCAAATTAAGGTCATTTTCAACACTGCAAACATCAACAGGCACTGTCCTTTGTCTTCTTTGCGGTCGAAGTAGCAATCTGTGTTTTTTGTGGGCCACTGCCAGTGGCAAATCTGATCAGCTGACGTGAACGCTACTTGGCACCACTTGTGAGTGTGTGTGCTTATGCTAAAGTGTCTCAGATCAGAAGCTGCTGCGTTCCGCATGGCAGTGCGCTATTGGTGACTGTGCACTTGAATCTCTGCAGACTTTCTTATCCATCAGTCAGTCAGTCAGTCAGTCAATTGGCTGCATGCACAACTCAAAAGCTATTCATCGCAGTTGGCTACTTGGCCACACTCTTAATTAGACCTCCTAATTGCCAACGCAGCTTGCTCTTTGCTTTGCTTTAATTGCTGAAGCTAAACGCCAACAACAACTGCGTTTATTGAGTTGATTGAGTGAACAAGAACAAGAGTGCTGAACAACCAAAGTAGGCAAATGTTCGCGATTACATTGCCTAGCATTGGGAAAAAGTGTCTTTGGTAGTAGTGGTGGTGGTGGTGTGCTGTTCAGTGGTCAGTGTCGGCCTGCAGTCGATTACACGCGTCAGCAGGTCTGCGTTGTTGTTCGCGCAAGCACATCCGCTTCCACGTCTGTCGCAGACTGGGCAGGTCGCAGGCGGCGGTGGTGAGCAGTACCGGTGGTGAGGCTTTTTCTTCCTTTCCAGGATTGCACGCCTTTCCAGACCGATTGCAGCAGTGGTTGCCACCACTTCTGCCGCCTTCGACCACCTCTGCTTAGGGTCATTTCAATTAGGGTTTCCTTCGCCTGTCCAATTGGAAATTGTCATTTTCTGTGCAGTTCTTACTATCTCTACTGCTGCTACTGCATCGCCAATGACGCCATCGCGAGCAGGTAATTGGCACTCACCATAAAGGCCAACTTCAAAGTGAAGAACAACAACGGGCACACGACCGAGAGAGAGAGAGAGAGAGGGATTTATGGCTGTGCTGAAGAAGTCACTTGTCATTTTACGGTTATGACATCGCCAAAGTGAAAGAGAGAAAGAGAAGGACTCTTCAATTGAAGTACGGTCGTTGTCTCAGTAGCACTTTCTGTGCACAGTTTATTGCCGCACAGTGCACACACACACTTTTTGGAAGCTATTTTTAAAAGTGACACACTCCTAGACGGCCCTAATTTGCATGTCTAACCCGTCTGCCACTGACTCGGACGCTGTCTGGCGCCTCTGGCTAATTCCAATCGATAACAATTAACACAATGCACAGTTGAAATCTATTTCGAGTGTTTATGCAAACTGTGTAAGTGTGTGCATTCTGGCATATTGACACCAAGTCTCTAGGCAGTCCCACTGCAAAATTGTTACCTGTTGCTAACAAAAGAAAACATTGGCAATGAATGGCAGTCAGGGGCACTGATTGAGGCAAAGTTTATTTAGTCTTTATCTATCATCAGCTTAGCTGAGGTCGAGCAGTGTGTGTGTGTGTGCTTTGTTTTCATTGCTTTTCATTGACAAATCAAGCCACTGGCATTGTCGTGATTTGGGCAATTCTGAAGATGGTTTCCTTTTCTCTTTTCTTCCCTTCTACTGCCGGCTAAGTAGAATGTCATTTGTTGACAATGAAATGGCAATAGTAAACAACTTACAAGAGCGCATTCTTCTGCTCATCATTTGAACTGGACTACTTTATCAGCCACAAGGTCAAGGTTAACAGTGCTAATCGGTCAAGAAGATGACGAGCCGATGTCAATTGAAGCACTGGGCACTGTGTGATCGTTAATAAAGCAATTAGCCCCTCAGATGACATTCAGTCCGGTCGGCAAAGTGCTCGGCTGCTACTGGCCCACTAGTTTGTCTGCTCAAGTGTTCTCTCCGGCGGCGCCAACAACAACGGCTGTGACTGACTGGGCGCACTACTGGC